GGGTCACAAGTGTTACGTAGTGTTTTAGGGGGAGTTAAATGGCACATTATGGATGCGTTGCAGGAGATAAAGTGGGTATTCAAAATTCTCCTAATTTGCTTTATATAATTTATGGACAGCCCCTTTTAACAAAGTATTATCCTCTCTATAATGTATTTACTTTCATATTCGAAATTGTCTCACTGCTTAACTGTAATGGCTTACCTTTGAATTTAATGACAGAGTGTATCAGAAAATCACAAGAAAATCAATACTCACAATTGTCATATAAATTTTTTGTTTTAAATAGGCTATACAATACCAAGGTCATTCGTGCATAATAATAGTTCCAAAATATTGCAAATAAACTGAAGAATAAAAAATAGCACTTCTAGAAAATGAATTACTGACTGCGACAAACAGTAGCAAAAATTGGTGTTACCAGGTGAAATGTGAAACAAATAATATCAATAAGAAAGCAGCCACAATGTGAAAGAAATCATCCTTATCAATACTGACTGATAGAATGAGGGCCTCAAAAATAGTAAGTTATTGCTATGTAAATTAAAGAATAATAGCAGTAAGATTATAAATAGAGAAAGGTCATCTAAATGTGATTGAAGTATATGCCCCAGAAGAAGAAATCATAATATTTTATGAAAATCTATACAAGGTTATTTCCCAAATTAATAACAAAGAATTTGACAATTAGTGGAGATTTAAATGCAGCAGGTGGAAACAAACCAAGGACTACGATAATAGGGATCTTTGGGGAACAGATAGTGAAAAATAATGGTATATAATTAAGAAATTTTGGCACCTATAATAAATTAAAAATAACTAATACATTCTTTATATGTTTAAATGTACACAAATATTCTTGGAATGCTAGGGGGTGAAAAACACTAATAGATTATATTATATTTAATGTGAAATTTGTGCATTTTAAAAGAGACAATAGTTTATAGAGGCAAAGATATATACTCAGATCACTACTTGGTTGTCTTGACTATTAAATTACTAAGTAGATGGAAAACCTATACCTCAAAAATAAAAACAAAGTAGAAGGTTTTTAAGTATTTCTTCTACAAGAAGATAGTATTGAAATGCTATATCTTACTTAATAAATATACCAACAATTGAAAAAGTAAGCAAAGAATGGGAAAATATTAAAACCTGAATAAAAAAGTGGCTTTTGAAAGCATAGGAAAGAAAAAAGAACTTTAGAAAATGGAAAGGACTCACAGTATGGAAAGAAGCAGGGACAGAGAAAAAAGCATACTTGAAATATCTTCAGACATGTAAAGAAGAAAGTAAGAAAGAATATAATTACAATGAAAATGAAACCAAAAACCTAGTGGAAGAAAAGGAAGAACAAATAGAACAAAAGAAAGATAATGTTGACCCACTTACAATAGAAGATTTATTAAAAGTATTAAAAGAAATTAAACGTAACTAAAAACACGTAAAAAAAACAACAACATAAAAGATACAGTAAAATAGTCCAAAAGAGGATTATGATGATAGCTGAAGTTATAATATTATAAGAAGAACAAAATGGCTTCAGAAAGGGAAGACACAGATAATGATTGTATATTGAATCAAATAATAGAGAAAAGAAGAGGGCTTAATTTAGACACACACATTTCATTAATTAATTTTGAAAAAGCCTTCAACCGAGTAAAGAGGAGAAGATTATGGGCAATAATGGATTGACAAGGCTTTCCAAAACATTTAATAAATGTAGCTAAAAATCTATATAAAAATACAAAGATATAAATAAAAATAAATTCTCATCAATCACAAATATTAAAACCTAACCAAGGATTAAGATACAGTTGCAGCTTTTCCTCGCTATTTTTTAACATCTATATATATGAAATTCTTGGAGGATAGAAGTTAAAAGTAAGACAAGGGATCAAATTGAGTGGATATAATTATGTCAATACTCTGTAAGCTGATGATCAAGATTTAACTCATGGAAAGGAAGATGATCTCCAAATGGCACCCCATCAGTTAAATCTGAATAAAAATTATAATATGAAAATATCACAATAAAAAAGGAAGGTCATGGATTTTAAAGGAGTTTATCCAATTAGAACAAAGATATGCCTGGATAACAAAGCAATAGAACAAGTCAGACATTTTAACATTGAGAAATGGACTCGAAAAGATACAATGTTGAAATTTTATAAAACAAAGGCAACACCAGTATACCTATATAGGAAAGAAAATTGGAGTCTCTTTCAAAGAGAAAAATCATATATGCTAGATACAAAGATGATATTTTTAAAGAGAGGAATAGGTTGTACTTTGCTTGATAAACAAAGAAATGAAGATATGAAAAAATAATTAAATATATTTAGCTTAATTGATTCTATACAACTATATAAACAAGAATGGGAAAAAAAAAATTAGAAAGAATGGAGCAAAATAGGCTACCTAAACAAGTGTTACAGTACAGCCCAAGAGGAAGGAGTGTAGGAAGACCACGTAGAAGATAGTTTGATGAGTGAAAACGGAACAGGCAGCCACTTATCCCTTGAAGTGCGGAAGAAGAATTTGGCAAGGACAACCATTATTCAAAAAATTGTGCTGGGAAGTTTGGAAATGCTTTTCAACCTAATCAGAAACATAGAAGAATATGTATAAACTTTTCACATGTAGTGTGACTCACCATTTAAATACGTCAAACAGTTCTAGGACAATTTCTTCTTCCTCTTTTTTCTCTCCTCTGCCTATTTTCCATAAATGAAAACATAAACTATTTTCTTATTTTGAAATATCACTTCTGTGAGAAAAGGTAAATATAATTTCAGTTAGTTTACATTTCCACACAATAACACCATATTTCTACTACATGCAATTAAATACAAACCATATTTTGCAATGATGGTATAAACTTTGCAATGGCAATGTTCACAGGAAACATTTCTCCTTTTATGACAATTCATAAATTGTTGGCACCTAGGGAGAAAAAAAGGAGGAACCATTTGAATTAATAATTCAATTTTTTAGATTAGCATTAAAAATAATGTTAATAATATGCATTAAAATGAAATAAAAAAATGAAATTAAATAAAGTAAAAAAAAATGAATTTACTCTGTTGCATGCAAAAAAATGCCTCAATAGTTATATTTTCATTTTCAGTTACTGCACCAATCACTGACTTATGTAACCTAATTATGTATTGACATTGATGTAATATGAGGTCACTATTATTTCTTTTCCTTCTAAATGTATTCTTAAAAAAGGAATTCTGAAATATTTGAACAATTTCATTGAGTACAAAATATTTTCTCCAAGTGATATGAGTTGATTGAAGTAATTCTGCATTTCATTAATGCATGTTTCAAAATGTTTACACTTTTCACTGAAACCTGAAATTAGAAAGTGTTAAAGTAAACATGTGTGCCTTAGAATTCTACAAAGCCATATCTTTATAATTCAGGCTTTAATGGTGTTATCAATATGCTGAGATTTTTTATTATCATGGAAGATTTGGACTGTTGGCACCAGTTATCAGTTATCGTTTTTTTATGCAACTCAAGGTTTTGACATATTAGAAAGCATATTTATTAAGCTGACTGGTGTTGTTTTTTTTTCATGAAAGTTCGACTGTTGAACATTGTTAACAGACTGAGACCTATGTTTTTATTCTCGTAAACTCAATCGGGCGGGAAGAATTCGGCCATTGTCGGGGGAGGATTCTAGCAGGCGGCAGCTATGATCGGAAGTTTTCTCCGATCAATACCACGGGGAATGCCCTAGTAGTACCATAATAAACGGGGCACAGACCACGATCTTTCTTTACCTATCCGAGCTTTCCCCGATTAGGGGGGGTGCCTCGCTGGAGGAGATACTTGGAGAGGAAATTCGGGCCCCGCAAGCCGACATGTAGGTCAGAGCTTGAAACATCAATCAATCGAAGGTTTCTTTTGAAAAAGAGAGAAAAACAAACCCTTTTCTTTCCAATATTACAGAAGGAAATCAATGAACCACGAAAAATATTACTTTCTAAGTTATAAAGCACATTGTAAATCATGGTTACATCATCGCTTTAGTGATCAAACTATGACTTCTGTAGGACCTCCGTTAGGTCGTGAAGGGAGATATTGGGAGGGGTAATTTACCCGCAAGTTGATGTGCAGGTCAGCGCCGGATCTCGTCACCCAGCGGGGGAGGAACACCGCCTCCTTCATAAAATCACTCAATACTCTTATGTGACTAATGCCCTTAGCAGTTGACGTAACCCAACACTAGGGCTCGTGAAAGTTACGTGACCGACGTAGGAATCTGTCAACCAGCTGAAAAAGAAGATTTGGCTCTGGCTGTATCACTTGATCTCTGTATTCAGGATCTCAGACGTCTATTCAAGACCTCTCGGTCGGGAGCGATCCAAAAATGTGTCGAGAAGAAATTTTAGTTCGTATCCTCTCTCTGTCAAGCTTTTTAATAGTTTTCGTAAAAAGTATTTTTGTTAGCTTGAAAATGTTCATCATTCGAATACACTTTTGGAATATAACACGATCAATATGTACTTTTTAATAAATTTAGTAAAATTGCAAATTCCGGATTTAAAGGGGTACTTATGGCACCTCTGAATCCGCCATTGTTCTCCATCAATGGAGGACAGATAATACGATGAGAGTAATACATATGGCAGTATGATGTTGATCAGCCCATTGCTGGGCGCTAAAATGACAATGGTCAAGGAAGGGCGAACAGCGCACGGTCCAAAGCCTATGTTTTAGAGTAACTGCATTTGAACAATGTGAGAAACATTTCGAGAGAAAAATCAAATACTAGCGGTGTCAGAAAAGTGTATAGCTTCAAAACAAAATGCATCAAATGCGAATGGGAAAATAACGGAAATTGTACATGAGGTCATTGACCCAAAAAGCAAACAAAAATATCACTAATGAAAGAGGAGAAATGGGATGTGGATATGGTTAGGGAAGTTACCTGAGAAATGCACGAATACATATTTTGAAGGCTGAGAATTTACTGAGAATATTCAGAAAGGTACACACTAATGATGCTGGAATTTGAAAAAGTTTGCACGTCTGGTACGAAGGTTCAACCATTCCCCGGAAACTCATTCAACGAATGGCCAGAGCTACCGAACTCTAGAATTCCATCCATGCTGTTGTGGCCATCAGCCCTGGTGTTTTGTTGGTTTAGAAAACCCTGCCGGTGTTCGAATCTAGGTCCTTGTGCCCTCAATTGCAGTATCGTAACTATAATACATGATCAAAAATTAAAAAGAGAATACAATATTCCACAATAGCGTAAAGAAATAAAACTTTCACTTTCATGTTACATTTTTGTAATTTGCAATTATAAGTATGAAACAGTATTCATTCGTCGAATTTCATTTTAGAATACATTTAAAGTTGGATTAATCTTGAAGTAATTTTGAAACACTTCACATTGTAATTTGTTTACAATGTTACAAATTCACAATCGCGAGTAATAGTTAAATATTCGTCAACAGTTACAACTAACACCAATTTTAAATTTGTTAAAATATTTTAATTTACCTGTGGATCTGCACATCAACTATGATCCAATTACAGCACGTTTCCATAGCAGACATGTGGTATTTCGTTGCTTTAAGACCCATTTTTATAATGTATCTGAAAAATCCGATACGAACTTCATTTTGAATTTATTCATCTTTTACAATAATTTAGTTGTAATGCTAACAAGAAACCAAGAAACTTTGCATACTCGCATCAACAATTTCTTAGGACATTTTAATACACAAATTGCTCCAGAACATCAAAATACGAATTCCAAATACACATTATTACACGCGCATGTTTTCTTGAGTTCCGGAATATGAATCCCATTTACTAACACGTTGAATTCATAATAAATGATAGCAACGAGTGTTGTTGAAAAACTGATAACCAGAAATGTTCACTCTATGTAATAAAAACTATTTTCATCAAAAACCGACCTGGAGATTTGATACAATACAGATCTCTTATCGCATCTAGCGAAATAATGGTTCAAGAAAACGTGCGTGTATTATAGAAAGCACATACCATCAAATTTCCAGATGTGTGTATAGATTATTAATTCACACACCAGAATATTTGAAACTCGAAGTAGCAAATGAAGCACCCGAGCAATCTAAAGGCTGGAACCCGATTGTCTCGAAGGCAGCAAAGGCACGAGTATTCCGATCCGAAATATTGCCAAATAAGGGCACGAAACCGATATCGAAACGCCATTGGTCTATTCAAAACCTATTGGCCTGCATCAAATTACGTCATTTCTAAGAAAACTTGGAGTATAGTCACACAAGTATTTGTTAAAGAAGAGCAAAATGGGTGATAAATAATTTACACCTAATGGTATAAGCTATAAGTAACTAACACCGAATATATACAGAATTTTCGAAAGACACGGCATTTCCTTGTAAAATGTAGCCAAATACGGTCATGAAATCGACGGCAAGACGCCATTGGTCAGGCTACGACATTCTTTTGAGGTCAGCGATGAATATCGTCACTTGTAGTGCGGCTCACACGTGGTCTGAGGTGGAGATGGGGCAGACTGCGGTAGTAGACTGCATGTCAGTGTAAGGGGAGAGGACACGACAAGGAAAGGAAGCGAAAGGAAAGATCGTGAGCAGTCCGAGGCTTGTTTGTTAGGATACTGCTCCGGCATTCACCTGATGCTAATCGGAGGAATCACTGAAAACTATCGATCAGATCAGTCGGCCGCTACAATTCTCCTCCAGACAACCATTGAAATCGACCTAACTATCTAGATAGCGTCAAAAATCCCGCCACATTCGTATGGCTTCATTCTTCATTTTATGCATCAATGCGCAGCTTTTGACATATCTCAGAATTTGCATTTCTCCTGCACTCATTCTCCTGTCTTCTGTGATTGAAGCATATAAATATTATAAGCTTCTAGCATGCAGAGGGAACGAAGATTATCACTTTTTTCCAATGGACATCTAGTGGGAAATTTAATTAAACCCAATTACACAAGTGATATTTGTCCCAGAATGTTAGTCAACCTCGTATGCCCTGGTAGCTGACAGGCACCATAAAACTCCTTGACTGTATCAAACGTGACCCGAAAGACACACGTGCATGAGTGGTTGCCTAAAAATAGGAAGCAAATATCACATGTTATACGAAATTTCCTACATTACGCTCATTGTCGGAAAGTAGTAGTATTCGATTACCCTCTTCGTACTCTAGAAGTTAATAGCATTTAATATGAGACAGATGTATATAACAGTAGGTTCAGTACATTTCCTCTTGACCGACCACCTCGTGACCAGCACCCAGATCGGATGACCACTTGGCCGGTTAAACAGTTGTTCCTTGATGACATAAAACATGCGGTTGAAATCGTTTTTATTTATACAAATTATGTATGCTAAAGAACGAAGTAAGCATACTTCATTGTAATATGATACGTATAATTTAAAAAAACTCTTGAACCTTTGTAGTAGGGAAATGTGACAAATGTTACTGAAGTCTACTATATTTACAGTTCATAATTGATGTATGCTAGTATTTTAGGTGTTACTAAACCGCCTATTCGCCACTGAACAAATCTCACAACTCTCACATTCGCCACAGAACTGCATTCTACATATAAATAGAAAGTATAAAAGTTTGTAGCTGCGGTAGAAAATCTGTCGGAACTCGAACCCGAAGACTCTCAACTCAGAATCGCTGCAGAAACAACGGCAATGCCGGATCTGAGCTAACTCAGGATTTTCTTTCTAAAAATCGTTACTTTTTCTTGCAAAATTAAAGGTGGCAATAAGCGGTTAACAACATTTGATTTGGTTTTCGTCCAGTTTCCCTGATCCTCGAGCAAATGCTGAGATGTCCCCTTGTCTTGCTTCTGGACAGAAATGCAACTTCAAATTAACTGCTCCCCATAGCACGTCACACACAGTTTTAACTGTATTTGACGTAAATATAAATATATAAATATAAATATAAATATAAATATAAATATAAATATAAATATAAATATAAATATAAATATATAAAACAATTTTTCTATTTTATTTCTAAGTGACATATTACTTATTGTTGATGCCTGCGATCCCGACATAGTGATAGGAACCGCGTTGTCGCTAACTGAAGAAATCGGATCCTCTGAAATGTTTCATTCTTATTACAAGATCTATAGGAGGGATAGAAATAGAAGAGGGGGCGGAGTCTTTATTTGTGTCACAGCAGACATGGACATTATTTAGATTAGGTCAGTACAGAGTTCGAAATGATGGGAATAGAAATGACTATTTCAAGAACCATATTTGAAATTATTTCATGCTATAGGCCTCCAAGCAACAGATACATTTTAGATGACATCATTCAGAGAAAGGGAAACGAAAATCCATCCTATTGTTACGGGCCACTCTATTGTTACTGGAGGCGACTAAAATATTCCTAGCGCAAACTGGGAAGGAACCGCGAGCGAAGGATAAGTTCAAACACGTGTCCACAGCATTGTTTGGGACAGAGAATTAACTCACGTAGTTCAGACTGTAACGCAGGATGTGATTTTGGATGTCTACCTAATTAAGCCGAAAGAGCTTCATATCTTGTGAAGTTCTTGAGAACACAAAGCAGTTCGTCTTGACATCGACGAAAATATTTCAAGAAAAGGTATTACGATAGGAACAAAAGTACGGCGATACAAGAAAGCGAATGTAAAAGGGCTTCAAGGTTTCTTTAGGGAACAATACAACCGCTTTCTGAGAACAGAAGGCGGCATGGAAGAAATATGGGGTGCGTTTAAAGATATTATATACGAAGCTTTGTAAAAGTTTGTCCCGTGCAAACTTCTAAAAAAATAATCCGGATTCAGAATAATACAATGCAGAAGCTAGGCGAAGGGTAGCGAGAAAGGCATCTAAGAACAGAAAACGGAGTAGCTAGCATATGTATAGTTTTCGAAATCGTTCAAAGGTTTTGGAGCGAGACACAACATTGCTCAGGAGGCATATTTAAGGAATATTCTAGATGAGAACGGAAACAACTGGACAGGATTTTATAAATAAGGTTGTACAAGGAAGGGAAATAAAGAGGATATCTCAGTTGTTCGTGAAAACAGTAGTATGATCTTGTGGTTCAGTGTCGAAGTTACCTTTACTGAGGTTCCGGGTTGGATTCCCGTAGAAACCCATGTGAAATTTGTCACAGGCTGACGACCGCCGCTCACGTGGCCGGGGTCGTGCTGATGGACAAAAGGGTGGGGTAAGACACTGCCTGCCGCCCGACCGACTTGCTGAGGGTCAAAAGGGGTGAGGCGAGGCGCAGCCTGCCGCCGACCGCACCACGCCAAACGCCGGGACGCGGTCCCGCCGCGGGAAGGGTAATGACCGCTCAGAAGGACACCGCCCGGCAGCCGATGAAGAACTCTGGCCCGTACGGCCATTTAAGATAATATTAGATTTAAGGTAGTTCTAAGGTTTAATTTTAGCGTGAGGCTTCATCTCGTTCATAAAATGAACACTAAAATCACTTTAAAAGAAATGAAACAATGTGTTTAAATGTAGTGGTAGTATTAGAATCACGCATGCCTCCCTCTAGGGGGTCTGCAGAGCAACCCCTGCACTGAGCAGCCGGGGCAACGCTGGATCGGACGAAATACAGGTAATCAGGTGAGTCGGGACAGCCACACAAAGAGTGTGGTTGCAATAATTACCTCTTCCAAGTGGGGCATACGATTGATTAGCGTTGTGAAAAAAATGATGACGCTATTCAACGTGTAGCATGGGACGGATGAAGCAAAGCGAAGCGTCGTTCTTTTCGGCTGTTTTCTATGACGACGTGCCGCGGAGATGTCAAAATAGATTTCGATTAATGAACCGAACTCACATGACCCGACTTCTGGTTTACCTGGCATAATCTAACTGTGCATGCGTGATTTGGCTAAATTCAATTGGTAAACTGGCGAATTGCCAGAGAAATTTTTTAATCACTGAGAGTGATATTTTCTTGTTTATTCTGTATTTTCTCTGTTTTCTTATTTTGTTATTTGTGTGCATTGTTTTTTGTGTAAAGTGTTTCTCAAATGCGCGAGTGAAAGAAACAAGATGTTCGACCACGACGGTGATAACGAAAGCGTGTCATCGGGCGTTTCGGAAGAGCGGTCTGAGATGTTTGTGAAGGGCTTTAATGGCGAGTCGGATGGCAAAATTTGTGGGAAGTCAGGGAAGTAAGCTTGACGGCGAGGAGAATAAATTAATAGAGAGCAGGGAAAGCCAGGAACAGACGGCAAGTCAGGTTGCCGATCTGAAATCACAATTCACAGAGCAAATTAGCGGACTTGGTGAATAGAGAGGAGAGCTCGTAAAAGCAAGTCAGTGCAGCGACTGCGCATTTAGGCGAACACATCGCAATAGTATATCATAGTTAGATATATATAGTATATATATATATATTTATATATATATATATATATATATATTATATATATCTTTAGTCCAGGGGACCCGTCGAAATTTTGCAAATAAGCTTTTCAGACAATTTAACTATATCTTTGTCTAATAAACTATTGGGATATCCGAATGGTTGAACCGCAATAAGCACTCAAAAGTTGTTTGAAAAAACTTGCTTTTCTAGGCAAAATTTGCATTGCAGAAGCATGGAAACACTCTAGAAACATGTGAATTGTTTATTATTTACAAAAGAAATTAATATATTTGTTCAGAAATAAAAATTAACCAAGAAATAAAAAAGGCGAAATGTGTAAATTAGGTGTTTTTTAATTTATTATTATTATTATTATTATTATTATTATTATTATTATTATACCATTGTTTTCATTATTGTACATTATTATATACATTTATGTTACTTTTATGACGTTATTTATGTCATAAGCTGACACCGAATTATACCCCAGTGCAGTTTAAATAAATTTATCTTTATCTTTTATCTGCATATTTTATTTTGACGATATTTTTGAAAACTGTAACGAACTAAGTGGTCCACGGACTCTTCCTACATACACAATTTTACCAGCAATTTATCAGAAAAGGCCGGAGTCTCTTGGGAGATGACTTGCAAAAGGCATTCAAAAGTTGGTTTGAAAAAATACTTTCGAGGTAAAAAATTTCATTTCAAAAACATAAACACTCTAGAAACATGTGAATTGTTTATTTACTAAAGAAAGCAGTGGTGGCTGCGGCCGGCGGCATCAGGAAAAGGGAATAATATTAAAATGCCAAGAAAAGCATCATTCATTCAATCAACGAATGATTCAATTGAATGAGATCCAACTTTAACCAAACCATATCTCAAAAGGAATATGCCGATTCTCAACCTAAAAAGTTGATAAGGGAGTTGTGTTTTAAGAATAATGTCTATGAAACTATTCTTCGAAAATATAGTATCACCTTCCACTTTTTCCTAGATGGGATGAGGTAGCCGGTTCCCAATTTACATATAGATTAAACTCTTATTTTCCTTCTGGTCCCGAATTTACATACACCAGCAATCCTTTATGATCTTCCTTAAGAGGATATTCAAAGCAGATGGATGCCAGCCTTGATTTTTCTTTCGAATTGGAAAGGGATTACGACTTTTCACATGTGTTTGACTAGCCCCTGTAAAGCAGTCAGACTTGTTTTGTCGGAACACATTTCAATGAGATTCTCCGGAAATCGAACCCGGACCTCTGTGGTGAAAGACAAGCGACTTTCACTCTGAGCCACGAATTGGCATTGTTACACTACCGTTTAGTAAATAAAGCTTCATTACGCTATCGTTAATTCCATTTATCTCGCCGTTCATTAGAACGTTGTGCATAGTGCGAAGTGCGTTGTGCGAAGATATTCGCAGAATAACTTCTCTAACTGCTAGGTCGCAGCTTGTATGGCAACGCAATATACTGATAAATAACTTTGACTAACTACTTAAATTACTAAATTATTAATTAATATCAATGGGAAGGGATTCTCAGAATATCCAACTGTCTACTACCTACTGCCAACTATCTGTCAAATTCGAATTTACTTTCAATGTAAAGCAAATAATTCTCTTAAAAATGTTCATTAAAAAAAGACACCAGAATATATTTAGAAACGAAATAGGTACTTTCTACAAGACTGCTACATTCAAAGAGATCCCAGTTGGTAGATCCCGACATTAGGGGGGGGGGGTTCCAAATTCTGTTTAGTAAGCAAAAACAATTTTTAAAACGGCACTCTTGTGTACACATTTCTCTGCACATCATTTTTAATCCTCACAAAACTAATATTTTATTTTTGGGGCATTGCTACTGGCTAATTTTTAAAAGTTATATTTTTGGTGTTCATATGAAAATGATAATTATTGCAGTAACAGTAAACAATATTTCCTAGACGTATTTAATATTTTAAAACAAAAGCATTAAAACAAACAAACACAAAAATAGCATCTATAAAATTATATGCATTTCCGTTCTTTAAAACTAGACTTGTTAATGACTGAACCCTTTTATAAAATATCTGATGTTGTTTGTTGGTATGCCCTGAAAATGTGACAATTGCAAATCCAAGTTAAGCAGAATGTATATGATTTTTAAATGACCATTACAAATGAAATAAGGTATCAAACACACTGCATTCAATGAACAATATGAA